TCTACATAATTATTTATGTTAATTCTTGCCTGTACTATTATGTAGGGATGATCTAAATGCCATCCCTACTAACCTGTTTGCATTGTTTTCGAAGGATTAATATTAGCCATCCCTACATTTACTTCCTTTTCTGAAAAGTTTTTTCTTTACTTGTATCCATACAAATAAATAGATATAAAACCTGGTTTGGGTCTGGCCTTTCCTCTCCGTTTGCAGTGAGAAGTTTGTGATCTAACACTTTTTGAAAATGAGACTGTCTTTGTTCTATTCTTCGACTGGGATGAAAATGTCTTTGGGGAACTTCTAAAGCAGCTTCACTGTCACTGCCTTCTTCATTAGAGGATGAATCTTCATCATCATCAGAAAAATTATCACCCTCTCCTAATTGCTCTGTACAAAGACATATAATCATTGAGGTCTCTTATTTTTCTGGAAATGTGTAACACACAAGTTTGATACAGATTATTTACTTTACTACATACCAACTAGTAATAGAGGAAATATTTCCTGAATCTATTTTCTGCATCAACTGCATTAAACATTTATGCACATTGTTAAACTTGGACTTGATTTAACCCTTTCTTAGGATTTGATTTTATACATAACAGAGTATATTTATAGGAATTAGATTACAGTAAATAAAACTGTCCTGATCTTTTCAAAAAACAAAATTACCTAATGCTAAAGTATATACAAGTCTATCTGCCTGTTGTCACTGCTCAATTTATAAATAAATCCACCAGCTTTTAAATAAACCTAACCATGTAGCCTTTGCTGAACATACATGAATATTTTGTAACTTTACAGAAGTAAAGTTTATGCAATTTTTCTAGCTTTCAAAAGTTAGGATTAAAAGTTTGAATTTCAAATAGCTAAAAGTAAATTGTTATAGTTGTTGTGATACTAAGTTTCAAAACATCCAAGATAAAAAAAAAAGGTTTTAACGTGCGTATTTAGATAATGTCTGACAAAATCACTATTGAAGTGGAGGAACTATTACACAAATAATATGCTGAACTGACAATGTCTAATCAATTTCAGCACTTAATGGGCTAAAAGTAATAAGCAATCTGATTTTACTACTGAGTGAAAATACTAAAGTTCATTACTTCTCTTATATCTTACATTCACTGCATCATTAATTATCTAAACATTAGGTAATAATGTGTTTTTGTACATACACTAAATATACAAGATCAAAATAGCCTATTCTGTGTAAAAGGGTTAACCACTTTGACTGTAGCACGTTAACCATAAGAAAAATAGATTATCAAGCAACCTTAAGCTGATTAAAGAATATTGTTTACAACTTTTATAACAAACTTTATATACCATGAAGATGATATGGCACATGAAGAGAAGTTCTTTAACAGTAACTGAGATCTTTAAGTTACTTTTATTGTTCAGCCACAGTTTGGAATTTATATTACAAATATGATATAAAACAGTTAATAGCAGACTTGTTCATTTTTGGCATGTCACTGATAGTAAGCCAAACTTGGAAATTAATATTTTTAATGTTTATTTTAACAGAGGATATATTTTCAAACAGGTTTATAGCACAATTTCATGCTTTCAACAAACAGTCTCATCTAATACACTCACGTTACTACTAGCTATCCAGTTGCTTAAACATTTTATTTTTAAAAAGATTAGTGAATTGAAAAACAAAAACACCATGATAAAAAAAATTTAGATATAATATAACTCAATGCAATAAAATTACAATACTAGGCAAACTCTGTAAACATTTACTTATTTAAAATCTCTTAAATCCAATAATTTAGGCATCTCTAAAATTACAATCAAAATCAGAACTACAGCATTTCTTTTATCACTGAGAGCAAACCTTTTTTTGAAAAGGCAGGAATAAATATGTAAAATATTTTTTTCCAGTGAAGAGTTGTGACTAAGTGAATTTCTTTATTGCCACATACTGGCAGCAAATCCCATAGCCACTTAGTATATTTGTACACATTCTCATACAATAATCTTGTAAATTCATGAATGGTTAATGTTATGGTGTTATACTTGCCTTGCACTGTACCATTCATATAATTTTTTAAATGGTCTCCCCACTTTATTTTTAAGCAAATTGTTCAACAAATTCTACACAAAGCACAGAAAATCAAAACAAACATGCATTTCCATATAAGCTGAAAAAATTAATGTTTGAGCAATTTTTCAATAATATCTATTCAGGGACAAAGTTAGCTTAAGTTATAATCAGTCTCAATAGACAAGGTTTATGTTAAAAAACAAATAAAATACCTGTATGTAAGAGTGATTTTTGCCGTTCTGCTTCTTCATGGTCGACAGGTTGGCTGCTCACAGCTAGCATGGTGACTTTAGCTGTAACTTCACTCTTTTCTTTAACATCAGAATAAAGTTCCAATTCCTTGTCTGTTGGCCGTTGTAAGACCTGCATTAACATAAACATCAAGAAAAAACATGTAGCTCAAAGAGAAATTCACTTTTACTATAACTATTAACTACTTCTTTTAACTATACCAAGCATCAAATATTTAGTTTTTCTCCATTTCTTCATTCCTCAACTATTTTTAATTATTATAAAACAGAGTATATCTTGCTCACATGGTAATTTGATGTGTTTTCTCTCATATTCTGTTATTCAACTTTATATATGGTCAAACAAACCACCAATGTAAAGAGAAAGGGAAATAAAAGATAGAAACATAAGCATCTCTGTGAATTACATTATAATGCTAAACGTCAGTTCAAAGAAAAGTACATTAACATCACCATAACTCTTAGTTAAAATTACCAAACTGAAGGAGGCACAACCACTGGAAACAGAGAAGCAAGTGATACATTTCCTTTTTGTAGGCTGCTCAATCACACAACTTTGAAGTACACAAAAAAAAAGCAATTCCAGGTACTATGCTTCTACTGCACCGGGTAGAGATTCAGAAACTTAAACTAAAGGTAGTCTAAGAAATGTAAATAGACTTACACTAGTGAAATAAGCAAAAAAATAATCTGATTGATGAAAACCATATGTACAGGTAGACTTGTTGATGCTGACAGGGGTGAGATGCGAGAGACATCATCCTGAGGAACTCTGAAAGTAGCAGCTACATACACTATGAGATGGTATATCTGATATGAGAAAAAACACAGAATTCTTAATGGCAACCTTCTCTTACCATAAACATATGAAATAAGAAGTGGAAGCCATTTTGTATAAGAAAAAGCAGATAACATCAAGGTCACAGATCTCTGGCATTGCAGAAACATTAGTCTGTAAGACATATAAATTTGTTTGTTGTAAGTAATATAGCTTCTTATTATTCTACTCACCAACTGATATGAAAGCTGCAACTTTCCCAAACAAGACCCTCATACACATATTAATTGGTTAGGAGTTAGATACTGATTCTGATTGAAGATGTGATTTGGATTGCCTCTCTGTCCAATTCACTTACAAACTACACTGAGTTTCCAACTGTGCATTTAACCACACACTTCTTGGGAAGGAGTCTAGTCATTCACTCAATGTATCTAGACTACCAAAGCAAAAGAAAAAAAAGATTCTAGTAAAAACATTTGGTGAAGCTGCTATACCAAAAGTCAGAGATTGAAACTGAAAAAGCAATTCCTGATAACAAAACAAATGGACAAAAATGAATGTAAAAGTAAGTATCTGCAACATAAATTCTGGGCACCCAAAGACATCTCAGTAGATAATCCAACTGTTGAATATGCTTCACCTCGAAATTGGGAACCACTGGAAAACAAACAAGAAATCTAGAAAGGCAGGTCTCCTTTTCATTTGGGAAACAAAAATAAAAGACAAAAAGACAGTATTTGAGTTCAAAACATTTCCAATACTCTCTTTGGCCTAAAGTGAAAGAAAAGATTGATGTAAAGGACTGACTTCGGAATTGGTTTCTGGTAGAACTGTAATAGAAGTTGGCAACAACAACAAACAAAAAAAGAAAGAGGGTGAGAAGTCACACATTATTACCAAAGTCTTTTCAAAGATTGCTAAACCCAAACAGTCCAAAACAGCAGTATTCCAGAGATTCACAAGTCTTTCCAATCTGCCTCCACACAACATCATGAATCAAATAACCAATGAAACTATTTCAAATTCAACTGTTTTACTGAAAAGTTATACAACAGTAGAGTTGCTTAGAAGAGTCTGAATGTGGCCTTGATTTAATCTGAGAGAATTATCATAAAATTAAAAAGGATCTAAGAGCAGGACCATGTCGACAATGTATTTTAAAAAATCTTGAGCATTTAAATATAAAAAAGAGGGATAGCATATGATAGAATGCCAACATAAAGAAATGTATTTGGGTCCCATTAAGTCAAGAGCATATGCAAAACGTATGTAAAGAATGAAGTGAAGGCAAAAAAACTTGCTTCAGTATAACTTAACTTGACAGAAAAAAAAGTATACAATACCAACAAAAAGAAATGCCATAAACTGAGACATGGTATTATAAAAGTAATAGCTATCTATCTCCTTGTATAAACAGTGAGAAGACAGTTAAGCATAAATAATCTCAGACATTTTAAAGGAGAATTTGGTGGAAGCTCCCTAATACTGATTCAAGGCCAACAAATTTTGATGAGAAAAATGGAAATCAGGAATTTCTGCTACTCAAAGAAAAGTTGACGAAAAATGAATCTTTCAAGAATGGAATGAAAAATTTCTTCAACACTCCAACCACTCTTGAAAAAAAACAACAAACAAAAAAAAAAAAACTAGGCATCAGATCTCAAGTAATGATGTAAATAAATGGAGATGCAAGTTGCAGAACCTTGATCCAAATCCATGGATAAATCACAATCATGCAAAGGTTTAAATGCTAACTCCTGACAAATTCTATAGTCCTAGGATGAAATTGAGGAGATATTTGCGCTTAGTATATCCACACTAGTGTCATTTCAGTATAGTTTCAAAGCACCAGACGTCTTCAGATGAGCTGTCTTTAATAACAAATAATGAAAACAAAAACAAGATCCAGCAGCAGTTGTTAAAATTACTTTATAAACATGGGCAGAAGAAAGAGCACCTTTAACATATTTTGAACATCTTAAATTGAAAAAGTCATAACTACAAGGTCAATGAAACAAAATTCAGGATTTAACAAACTGGAAATAGGAAGAAAAATAAATAAAGATCAGTAGGATACAATGCAATTCAGTGTACTCGGAAACGTGTGAAGAGAAAATGTGACTATACAGAACTGGATAAAAACACTGGGCAGAAGTCATTAAAAATGTTGCTGATGGAGATTATCTTAGACTATCAAAATACAGCATGAATCATGGAAAACACAAACTATCATATGAAGATTATTAAAATTGTAAATTTTAGATACTAAAGGAATGAGAATGAAGTGAAGTAAACTAGGTTTAATTTCTTTGCATAATTCAAAACTAGTTAAAAGGTATCAATTTAAGTTTATGTATAAAACTAACTTAATTGAAAAACTTAGAGTACAAACCCTAAATGTGAAAAAAAAAATCTGAATGAATTATTCATGTGTAAGAAAAAATAATGCTGATATTTACAGCAAACAAATTTGTGTTTTTTGCATGAAGACTAAATATATTAAGTGTAAGAAAATATCAGACTTAAACTACTCAGTTTAAGTTAAATAATTTATCATCTCGGAAGAAACACAATGTTCTTAAATTTGCATAAAAAATCTCTTATTATTCTAGCTGAAATAACTGACCTCAGCCATATCAATGATTCCTCCAGCTAATGTCTTGAAACCAAGAATAGCACGGTTTTTGTAACGTTTCCTTCTTTGAAGCATTATCTGTAGCTGATTCCCAGTCCTTTTTAAAAAATGGGGGTACTAATAAAAAAACAACAAAAATTAATATTAAACCAGAATATTTTCTTTTTAAATTACCTTAATGTTGACTACAGTACACTTTTATGGTACACTGTTTCTTCTTTAAGTACTGTAACAGAAAAAAAATGTTTAATAATTATTAAAAAAGAAAAACCAATACTTCTATACTGTAGGGTCTTTTATATTCTGAAACTGTTACTGGCTACCATAAATATACATTCCTAATATTTAAAGACTTTTTGCCCTAATAAATATTGGATAGTTAGTAACTACCATTTACAAATTCATAGTTCTGTTACCACCGAAGCTTCATATTTTCTATTAATCAAAATTATTTATAAAGTGAGAGGACCATCTTCTAAAATCACTGTTTATCAGGTTTCATTATGTAAGAAAATGAATGTCTCTAAATTTATACACTTCAGTGACACATTTTTTTCATTCTACAAAAATATGATACACGAAGCTTAGTATTACAGATTCACTTTTAGAGTGAATTACTTAATAACATTTAAATTTTGGAAACTGCTAAGAAAATTTAGGTTCCTTATGGAATTCTACATAGTATGATATTCATTTTGCATGTGGATGTTTAACCTGCAATTTTCCCATTTTAGTGCTAATCCTAATTTTGCTAGTTGTTTTGAGATAGTTTTCTTTAATATCTGTTATCTACAGTACTGTGTACTTTATAAATAAATCTTCCAGTTCTTCACATTTAAAATTTCATTTAAACAAATGACTATAACTTAACAAAACAAAACTTTCCAGATGAAATAACCCCAATTTACTAACAATAACAAACTTTAAACAACATGTTTACATTTAATGAATAATAATTACATTACTTCTAACTGAGGAAACTTTTGTGGAACAGGATTAAAAAAATAAAATTCATGAGGGAAATTTGTGTACTTTGGTATACTTACAAGACATAAATTTTCTTTATTTCTGCACTTACTAGCTTTTTAATTCATTTGTTACCATTACTAGGTAAATAGTAATTCAATTTATGCAGTTATTTCATAATTCACCAATTCTTTTGTTCATTCACTAAATTATCATTTCTCGTTAAGTCATTTAATACAAACAATGTCTAATGTACAAATGGTATGTCCCTGTTTATAATTTTTTTTGTAACATCCACTAGTCTGTGACTATGTTAGTGCTCTAATGAAAATATCTTAAACCTATAATGACAAAGTTGTTCAATTTTACCAACCTTGGAACTACACATGCTATAACTCTTAATTTACTAAGTGTATCTTCACAAAATTTAGTTAGCATTTAGTAAACATTAAAAGTTTGTTGGACTCGCACACAAAAGAAAAATCAATGTTTTCAATAAAATATTTCTACTAAAGATTTGTCTGTAAATCTTCAAAACCTTTTACAAAGTCTGAGTGAAATGTGATTTTTAACTTGGAGAACCTTCTAAATGAATATAAAGTGTTTTATTTTTCATCAACTTTATATTTTATCTTATTTTCTCTACCCTAATAGTAACAATAGAGAAATCAATGTACAGTAAAATGAAGAGTTGAAAATTACGAAATAAAATTAATAATACCAAAATTGATCAGAAAATTCCAAATTACTTATACTAACAGTTTTAATCGTTAACCTTTTCATGTCTGTATTCTTTTAGTTTTATGGTTTTATTGCTGTACTTTGCCCATTGGAGCAGTAACCTTCCCATCAAAGGCAGTAAATTACATGGAAACCCATTAGATGATTCCCTTGGAAATAACATAAACAGCATGTGATCTAAATATGTTTCACACCACACTCAAGCTAATGAAATTATGAACTTTTTATTTTACTGAGGTTCTGTTGGGCTTACCTGAGAAGTTTATAATTTTTACATTTTGGTTACTTTTATTAAAATAAACAATAAAGAAGTATTTACATTAAAAAAGGATTTTAGTGTTCAGTGTGTACTGAAACCATTTTAACTCCAGTAAACATTTCAAACATTTTTCTCTATACCTCAGTGAGTCTCACAAATATGAGTGTCCAGATAAAAATTAATGTAGCTTTTTAACATGCATCTTAGAACAAAAAGAATAAAACAGTCAACGGAATAGAATGTCCCAAAACTACTATAATTTATTTGGCTTTCTAAGTAATCTATAAACATATTTGAAAAATTCCATTACTGTTTCAATTACTAAATCTGATCAACATAAACCAAGCAATCCTCCTTGACTAATAGCTTACAATAGCAGAACTAAATGTAAAATTGAGAGATATACACAGAATGTACTATTTCCATTGGTTATAAAATGCAACAGCCATGTAAGGTTGTTTAGCATAAAATTTCAGAAGTCAGAGAGAGAGAAGGGGAGGCTTCTGTAATAGGTTTCATAAATTTATAAATATCACATCAACTCAAGAAGGTAAGAAGTTCTAATTTTAGATTATTACTTGTAATTTATGTTTCTAATTGGTTGGAAGCTGTAGTACCCAATTTTAAAACTTAAAAGTTTCTGAAATGGAAAAATCAGAGTTCAGGTGTATTATACACTGAAAAATAAAGAGACAAGATTTGTCAAATATTTCTTTTTGAAATTAAGAAGTTAAAAATAAGGTGATATAAAAAGTTTGATTAAAACTGTTTTTATTGATAAGAAAGTTATTTAATTAAGTTTTGAATGAAACACCTTGACCTGCTCATGCAGAAAGAGAAATATTATAGCAAAGTGCATTATGTTCACATTTTAATATGCTGTGTAGATCTACACAACAAACAAATGGTGTATTTATGTGTTTTTCAAATAATAACCTGTTCCTTTTTTTTTTCTAATTTCATTACACCTTATTGATTATAATGTTTAATTTATTTTTAATTTTCTGCAGATTATTTTGTATTGTCTTAATGTGTTGATTAAAAACTAAATACTTGAAAATAGCCAATCATCATCAGATATCAGGGATACAGATATTCATAAGTTACACAGTTGATGATCCAAAACAATCTAATCATTATACAACTTTGGCTTACTAGCAAATAAACTTATAACATTGAAATATTTCTAGTAAGTTTGTTATATACGATTATCTTTCTTAATGTGCATGTTATTTTAACAAGGCCCCAGGAGCCAAGGCTTGTCTTTACACAACAATTTGTTGAATATTAAAAGTAAGTTCAATCGGGAAACTCCCAAAGAGGGTGGTTTCATTGGTTAATTGATAAATTTGAAAGTGAAATATAGCATCTTCAAGTCTCCATACTAGCTAGTACTAAGGTCTACCTGCTAGGAGTAAATTCAGTAAAGCCACATTCCAGTATCATTAAATAAGCAACTGCCAACCTTTTATGTTTCTGCTATCATCTTTTTATGCTTAGCTTTCAATTGAGATATGAACAATTTCACCTGCGATTCGGTAGCGAAGGTCAAAGGATCACGATAGTCAGCAGTAGGATGAGCAGACAGGAAACACTTTGAAAGCAGCTATAGGCATAATATTTACTCGGCTTGCTGCACACTATCTACCATGGTGGTTCTAAATGGTTCCCGAATACCTCTGCATGTCATTTGGAGACTTCCATACTTCTTGTGCTTGATCGTTAAGCTCATGATGCGTTGACAGATTTCAGTCACCCTACCACGTCAAATTACTTTTTGCAGCCCCCAATGCTAAAAGAGTGCAGAAAATGCCTTCTTTTTGGCCAATGAACATGCCAAAAAATTTAATTTCAAATTAAGAAAAACCAGATAGGAAGTTTTAGTTTTTTAAAACAAAAATGTTCCCCACTGGTTCATGAGGGGCCTATTAAAATATCTTACCTCTCAATCAATACAGTTAGCTTACATTTGATGGTTGTTGTTCGCATATGTCCCTTTCTGTAGCACTGCTATGGAAGTTTGTGATTTTGTACGACTATGAATAAAAGATGTTCCCTTTCAAAGTTCTCAAAGTTTACATATTTGAAGTTTCAGGTAAGTGATGAAGTTAAGCCATGTTTTTTTTTTGGTGGTAATCAAAAATAAACCTGACACTGGGAGGGGTTGTTTGCATATAAATATTGCAGTGGAAGAGTTAATAACCTATCTACCATTTATTCACGTGTATGCCCTCTTTTAATTTCTCTCTGCCACTTACCCTACCCCCCCCCCTCCCAACCATACATATATTCACTCATTACCCCGTTAATATCTTTTACTTTAGTCACGTGTCAGTCTTTCTAGCTTTCCAATTAATTTGAATTTATCTTTTATTTATTTCTTTAATCCCTATAGCGATGTGAGCACTTGTCAGGAGTTTATTGCACACCTGCACATCAAGTTTCAATTATTCTAACAACATTCAAACAATTTTTTAACCAAAAATATTTTATAATTGATATTTTGACATTTTTCAAAGAAAAATTGAGTGTCTTCACAGAGATAAGTGAAAAAAAAAGTCCTAGCCTAAATGTCTGCACAGCCCTAAGGAATCTTGCCTGTAAACAATCTGCTTAGTTTTTTGGGGGGTGAATTTTTCTATATAATCCAATGTATACATTTATATTTTCTAAGAAACTATCAGCCCCTTGTTTCTCATGTTATTTTCCTTCTTTTTCCCAGAATATATCAGTACAGCTTCTTGTTTCCACCCTTTTATGAACTTCAGCACATTCACTGAACTATTAATAAAGATCTTTGAAAATATCCACAGGCAAAGTTTAAATATCTTTATATGTAACACATTATAAATCATTTGCATCAATGTAGTGAATAGGTGTGGTGTGAGAAATAATTTTTGGTTTTAGTGGGAAAGTGATAAGATATAGTTCCTGCAGAAAACAAAAGAATTTAGTGGGAAGTTTATGGGCTTTAGGAGTAAACCACAATCTGGAATTTTTTTTTTTCATTTCTTCAGATGTTCTTTCCTTCCTCAAAATGTTTGTTAAATTCTATTTGTTCGACAGCTAGTGAAATTTTCTTTTATGAAAAGACAACAGATAAGACAAGTTAGGTTTAGAAAGTACAATAGATAATAGCAAAATATTATAACTGAAATTCTTACCTACTGAATAATATTATTTATCATATTTGCACAATGTAGGTCAATAAAATAACATTTATTGAAACGAATCTATAATATTGTTACCAAAAATAAATTTATCAAAGCTTGATGTGGCACAACTGCAACAGGTCACCAATAAATCTTTCAGTTTTGCTATTCATAAAAATTAATAGCTAGACATGGTGACTACTGCAATCTGAAGAATCAAGTGTTAAAAGAAATATGTTAATGAATATCAATCAAATTGAAACTGGTTTTGTGTATAAAATGAGACAGAATTTTTTGTTGTTTTTTACTTCCTCAAGTATTGCCTGGAAAGGACAGATAGCCTGGACACCTTTTGCTATCACCAACTTGATGAGGATCTCAGGAGAAAGGAATTCTCTGTAAGGTAACACTAGCAAATCAGTGGATTCCATTGTCTCCATAATATAGAGTGGAGAATAACAACTAGAAGGACATGAAACTAGAAGTAGGTTAAACCATAATATGTTGTAAGTAATGTGATGATAATGTGTTATCACTTGCAAGATCTCATACAACAGACAGTGATGGCTAGAGGTACTAAAACCCATGCAATAATAAATTTGATGGAAAGTGGCATGAAAATAAGAAATGTCATAACCCATAGAAGAATAAACTAGCCAAATAAGGAGTATAGCCCAACCAGTCAAAGTGGAAGGGGATAAGATGTTATCATCTGCCCTGAAAAGGGACAGTAAGAGTAAAATAACAATGAATAGCTCATACAGGACAAAGACGAAACCTGTGTCAGAATAATTATACACAGAAGAAATGGAAAAAGGTTGAATGGAGAAAAAAATTAAATCATCCTCCCTTGCAGCCCAAGTGCAGGTAAGAAAGAAGCATTCAAAGAAAAAATTAATTAACCTGGCTCTCATAAGCAAGAAAAAGAAAATTTACCTAAAGATATAAAAAAAGAGGTTAAAACCTCTCCAGACACAAAGCTTCCACTACCAAAGCTCTAGAATCTGAGACTGAAGACCAAAAGAGTGGAAACTAGATTCTGAGGAAAGTCAGAAAAGCAGCAATGATAGGACTTCCATAGAGAGAGCAAATCCACTGAAAACACAAGATAACTGAGAGAACATTCTGTTGGAAAAATCAAGTCTAGGTGAAATAATCTATCTGCTACCAGAGCCTAAGCTTCTGAGACACGGTAGACCAACAACCAAACATGGTGATCATAAATGCAAAAAACAGTCTACAACTAGGAAAACAGAAGTTTGGAGACCACCTGCCTCCTTGTTGATAAATGAAAAATGACAGAGAAGGTATTTAAATGGATCATAAGAAGATCAGACAGAATTTGATAGCAAACTTATTGAGAAGTCAACATCTTTACGGCATAAAATTAAATACACGAAACTGAAGATTGTAGTTGCATTCAGTGCTGACACCAGTAGGATCATCAGCTAAGTGCCACCCGTCAATGGAAGTTTTGGCCCTTTAAAACTAAGTACTTCCTCAGGGTGGTGGGCCAGCAGCATACTCATGCTACCTCCCACCAATGGGCTTGCATTGCTTTCCAGGTGGACATGCTTTTTTCACTTTATCTCTAGTCTACCTACTCTCCTGAACATAGTTTGACTATATCCATGATGAGCTTGATTCAAATGACTTCTACACAGTCCTCTCACTGCACTACTCCTCAATCTAAAGTGTTGCAGTCACTCATGAAATTGCAACAAAACCTCGGCAGCCAACTTCAAATGGATAGCATGTTCCTTTCCATCCTCTATCCTCACAAATAGATCTCAGTTAAACATATTTGGTGAACTTCTGTTCATGAGCTTCTTGGATGTTATCCTCTCATGACATAGTCAGCTCATCGAAGATCACTTGCTGCCGATTAGCTGATCATGAACTCAGAATATGCTGCAATGTTCTCTTCCTACCACAAGCATGACATAATCTGACTTATCATACCAAACACTTGAGTTGGATGATGTGGGGAGCTAATCATATGTATAACGACAGAGGAATGAAATTCTAAGTGGCTCCATCCTCCATAGCAGTGTACCATGACCTTAATAGCAGTGTTCCATGACCTTTTTAGAGTTACATTCAAAATTTAAACTACTTTATTATCAATATATACCAATAACTTTGGCATCAAAACATAGTTAATAAATCAAATTTTAATATTACGTAAGTTTAAAGCTCTTAATTTTATAGGAAAATATTTTGAGAATTTGAAGATAGCTTTTATATGCGGAAACATCTGTTAGCCGAGTTCTTGCACAGATCTTAAAATATAACGTTCATAAACGGAAACATCGGCACATGTAGATCTTGAAAGTAGAGTTGTTCAAAACTTGAAAATAGCGTTGATAACTGGACCAGTTGTTGATTGAGATGTTGTAAAGGAAATATCTGCTTCAGAAACTAATCATAGCAGAACCGTCTGGAAAATGACCTATAGGAAATAGTACAGCTTATAAACTGAGTCAGATCAATGCAGGCCAGTAAGGCAATCACTGATTGGCAAGTCCTCAAGTCAATAAGGAAATGTCACAGACCTACTGAAGGATGTGTAGATTGTATAGGAATTCTTTTTGGTGGCAAAGGACAGGTTTATGTGTTTTAATAAAGGTGGCTTCAAAATACAGAGATGAAAGGTTGACAGACCATTTGCAATAATTCTAAACCTGCTATCCGTGTAGTTGTCAGCACAAGTCGGGTTCACTAATAAATGCTGGCCAATTACTGATTCACATTTTGGTGGTAGAACTTTTGTTTTACAGGAGCGACATGGTAAATTCTTTTCTTTCACATTCTTATTTCTTATGGATGTGGGTACATGTTGTTTAATTCCATCCTGCAGTCTTTGTGAAGTGCGACCTACGTGTGAAAGTAAAGAATTTACCATGTCGCTCCTGTAAAACAAAAGTTCTACCACCAAAATGTGAATCAGCAATTGGCCAGCAATTATTAGTGAACCCGACTTGTGCTGACAACTACACGGATAGCAGGTTTACAATTATTGCAAATGGTCTGT